ATACAGCACCCTATGACAAAATGGAACCCACCAGCAGTGTGAGGAGACCTGAAAGTGGCACATGGCAGAGTGTGGCGATGGAGACAGCAGCAATGGGAGGCCGTACAGGGACCCATGACACACACTGGACCTGGCAGCAGCATGAGGAGCGTACAGGGGGCCCATGACAGATTACGGGCCTGGCAGCAGCATGAGGAGTCGGTACGGGGGCCCATGGCAGATTACGGGCCTGGCAGCAGCAATGGGAGGCCATACAGCACCCTATGACAAAATGGAACCCACCAGCAGTGTGAGGAGACCTGAAAGTGGCACATGGCAGAGTGTGGCGATGGAGACAGCAGCAATGGGAGGCCGTACAGGGACCCATGACACACTCTGGACCTGGCAGCAGCATGAGAGGCGGTACAGGGGCCCATGACAGATTACGGGCCTGGCAGCAGCATGAGGAGGTCGGTACGGGGCCCATGGCAGATTACGGGCCTGGCAGCAGCAATGGAGGCCATACAGCACCCTATGACAAAATGGAACCCACCAGCAGTGTGAGGAGACCTGAAAGTGGCACATGGCAGAGTGTGGCGATGGAGACAGCAGCAATGGTGAAGGCCGTACAGGGACCCATGACACACTCTGGACCTGGCAAGCAGCATGAGGAGGCGGTGACAGGGGCCCATGACAGATTACGGGCCTGGCAGCAGCATGAGGAGTCAGTACGGGGGCCCCATAGGCAGATTACGGGCCTGGCAGCAGCAATGGAGGCCATACAGCACCCTATGAACAAAATGGAACCCACCAGCAGTGTGAGGAGACCCTGAAAGTGGCACATGGCAGAGTGTGGCGATGGAGACAGCAGCAATGGGAGGCCGTACAGGGACCCATGACACACACTCTGGACCTGGCAGCAGCATGAGGAGGCGGGTACAGGGCCCATGACAGAATTACGGGCCTGGCAGCAGCATGAGGAGTCGGTACGTGGGGGCCCATGGCAGATTACGGGCCTGGCAGCAGCAATGGGGAGGCCATACAGCACCCTATGACAAAATGGAACCCACCAGCAGTGTGAGGAGACCTGAAAGTGGCACATGGCAGAGTGTGGCGATGGAGACAGCACAATGGGAGGCCGTACAGGGACCCATGACACACTCTGACCTGGCAGCAGCATGAGGAGGCGGTACAGGGGCCCATGACAGATTTACGGGCCTGGCAGCAGCATGAGGAGTCGGTACGGGGGCCCATGGCAGATTACAGGCCTGGCAGCAGCAATGGAGGTCATACAGCACCCTATGACAAAATGGAACCCACCAGCAGTGTGAGAGACCTGAAAGTGGCACATGGCAGAGTGTCATGTGGCGATGGAGACAGCAGCAATGGAGGCCGTACAGGGACCCATGACACACTCTGGACCTGGCAGCAGCATGAGGAGGCGGTACAGGGGCCCATGACCAGATTACGGGCCTGGCAGCAGCATGAGAGTCGGTACGGGGGCCCATGGCAGTGTGAGGAGACCTGAGAGCACAATATGTGGCGATTACAGGCCTGGCAGCAGCAATGGGAGGCCATACAGCACCCTATGACAAAATGGAACCCACAGATTACAGGCCTGGCAGCAGTGTGAGGATCAGACCTGAAAGTGGCACATGGCAGAGTGTTGGCGATGGAGACAGCAGCAATGGGTAGGCCGTACAGGGACCCATGACACACTCTGGACCTGGCAGCAGCATGAGGAGGCGGTACAGGGCCCATGACAGATTACGGGCCTGGCAGCAGCATGAGGAGTCGGTACGGGGGGCCCATGGAAGATTACAGGACCTGGCAGCAGCAATGGGAGGCCATACAGCACCCTATGACAAAATGGAACCCACCAGCAGTGTGAGGAGACCTGAAGTGGCACATGGCAGAGTGTGGCGATGGAAGACAGCAGCAATGGGAGGCCGTACAGGGACCCATGACACACTCTGGACCTGGCAGCAGCATGAGGAGGCGGTACAGGGGCCCATGACAGATTACGGGCCTGGGCAGCAGCATGAGGAGTCGGTACGGGGGCCCCAATGGCAGATTACGGGCCTGGCAGCAGCAATGGGAGGCCATACAGCACCCTATGAACAAAATGGAACCCACCAGCAGTGTGAGGAGACCTGAAAGTGGCACATGGCAGAGTGTGGCGATGGAGACAGCAGCAATGGGAGGCCGTACAGGGACCCATGACACACTCTGGAACCTGGCAGCAGCATGAGGAGGCGGTACAGGGGCCCATGAACAGATTACGGGCCTGGCAAGGCAGCATGAGGAGTCGGTACGGGGGCCCATGGCAGATTACGGGCCTGGCAGCCAGCAATGGGAGGCCATACAGCACCCTATGACAAAATGGAACCCACCAGCAGTGTGAGGAGACCTGAAAGTGGCACATGGCAGAGTGTGGCGATGGAGACAGCAGCATGGGAGGCCAGTACAGGGACCCATGACACACTCTGGACCTGGCAGCAGCATGAGGAGGCGGTACAGGGGCCCATGACAGATTACGGGCCTGGCAGCAGCATGAGGAGTCAGTACGGGGGGCCCATGGCAGATTACAGGGCCTGGCAGCAGCAATGGGAGGCCATACAGCACCCTATGACAAAATGGAACCCACCAGCAGTGTGAGGAGACCTGAAAGTGCACATGGCAGAGTGTGGCGATGGAGACAGCAGCAATGGGAGGCCGTACAGGGACCCATGACACACTCTGGACCTGGCAGCAGCATGAGGAGGCGGTACAGGGGCCCATGACAGATTACGGGCCTGGCAGCAGCATGAGGAGTCGGTACGGGGCCCATGGCAGATTACGGGCCTGGCAGCAGCAATGGGGAGGCCATACAGCACCCTATGACAAAATGGAACCCACCAGCAGTGTGAGGAGACCTGAAAGTGGCACATGGCAGAGTGTGGCGATGGAGACAGCAGCAATGGGAGGCCCTACAGGGACCCATGAACACACTCTGGACCTGGCAGCAGCATGAGGAGGCGGTACAGGGCCCATGACAGATTACGGGCCTGGCAGCAGCATGAGGAGTCGGTACGGGGGCCCATGGCAGATTACAGGCCTAGGCAGCAGCAAATGGGAGGCCATGAACAGCACCCTATGACAAAATGGAACCCACCAGCAGTGTGAGGAGACCTGAAAGTGGCACATGGCAGAGTGTGGCGATGGAGACAGCAGCAATGGGAGGCCGTACAGGGACCCATGACACACCTGGACCTGGCAGCAGCATGAGGAGGCGGTACAGGGGCCCATGACAGATTACGGGCCTGGCAGCAGCCATGAGGAGTCGGTACGGGGGCCCATGGCAGATTACAGGCCTGGCAGCAGCAAATGGGAGGCCATACAGCACCCTAATGACAAAATGGAACACCACACGCAGCAGTGTGAGGAGACCTGAAAGTGGCACATGGCAGAGTGTGGCGATGGAGACAGCAGCAATGGGAGGCCGTACAGGGACCCATGACACACTCTGGACCTGGCAGGCAGCATGAGGAGGCGGTACAGGGGCCCATGACAGATTACGGGCCTGGCACGCAGCATGAGGAGTCGGTACGGGGGCCCATGGCAGAATTACAGGCCTAGGCAGCAGCAATGGGAGGCCATACAGCACCCTATGACAAAATGGAACCCACCAGCTTGTGTGAGGAGACCTGAAAGTGGCACATGGCAGAGTGTGGCGATGGAGACAGCAGCAATGGGAGGCCGTACAGGGACCCATGACACAGTCCTCTGGACCTGGCAGCAGCATGAGGAGGCGTGTACAGGGGCCCATGACCAGATTACGGGCCTGTCGGGCAGCAGCATGAGGAGTCGGTACGGGGGCCCCATGGCAGATTACGGGCCTGGCCAGTCAGCAATGGGAGGCCATACAGCACCCTATGACAAAATGGAACCCCACCAGCAGTGTGAGGAGACCTGAAAGTGGCACATGGCAGAGTGTGGCGATGGAGACAGCAGCAATGGGAGGCCGTACAGGGACCCATCATGACAACACAGCATCTGGAGGCTGGACAGCAGCATGTAACGGCGCCTGCGGTACGGTACGGGGGCCCATGTCATAGATTACGGGCCTGCGCTCATACAGCAGACAGCATGAGGAGTCGGCACAACGGGGGCCAAGGCAGATACAAGGGCACCTGGCACAGCCAATGGGAGGCACATGGGGCGGACAGCATCACCCTATGACAAAATGGAACCCAGGCTCCAGCAGCAAATGGTGAGGAGCACCCCTGGAACCCAAAGTGGCACAGTGGCACATGGCAGAGTGTGGCGATGGAGACAGCAGCAATGGGTAAGGCCGTACAGGGACCCATGACACACACTGGACCTGGCAGCAGCATGAGGAGGCGGTACAGGGGCACCATGACAGATTACGGGCCTGGCAGCAGCATGAGGAGGTCGGTACGGGGGGCCCATGGGCAGATTACCGGGCCTGGCAGCAGGCAATGGGATGGCCATACAGCACCCTATGACAAAATGGAACCCACCAGCAGTGTGAGGAGACCTGAAAGTGGCACATGTCAGAGTGTGGCGATGGAGACAGCAGCAATGGGAGGCCGTACAGGGACCCATGGACACACTCTGGATCCTGGCAGCAGCATGAGGAGGCGGCGTACAGGGGCCCATGACAGATTACGGGCCTGGCAGCAGCATGAGAGTCGGTACGGGGGCCCATGGCAGATTACAGGCCTAAGGCAGCAGCAATGTGATGCCATACAGCACCCTATGGACAAAATGGAAACCCACCCAGCAGTGTGAGGAGACCTGAAAGTGGCACATGGCAGAGTGTGCGATGGAGACAGCAGCAATGGAGGCCGTACAGGGACCCATGACACACTCTGGAACCTGGCAGCGAGAATGAGGAGGCGGTACAGGGGCCATGACAGATTACGGGCCTGGCAGCAGCATGAGGAGTTCGGTACGGGGGGCCCATGGCAGATTACGGCCCTGGCAGCAGCAATGGGAGGCCATACAGCACCCTATGACAAAAAATGGAACCCACCAGCAGTGTGAGGAGACCTGAAAGTGGCACATCGGCAGAGTGTGGCGATGGAGACAGCAGCAATGGGAGGCCGTACAGGGACCCATGACACACTCTGGACCTGGCAGCAGCCATGATGAGGCGGTTACATGAGGGCCCCATGACAGATTACGGGACCTGGCAGCAGCATGAGGGAGTCGGTACGGGCGGCCCATGGGCCTGATTACGGGACTGGGACAGCAGCAATGGGGAGCCATATACAGCACCTCTATGACATATGGATCCCACCAGCAGTGTGAGGAGGACCTGAAAGTGGCACATGGCACAGAGTGGTGGCCGAGGGAGACAGCAGCAATGGGAGGCCGTACAGGGACCCATGACACACTCTGGACCTCGGCATGCAAGCATGAGGAGGGAGGTCGGTACAGAGTCCCAAATGACAGAATACGGGCCCTGGCAGCTGCATGTGGGAGTCTCGGGTACAAAACAAAAAAAACGGGGGGCCCCATGGGCAGATTTACGTGGGCCTGGCAGTCAGCAATGCGAGGCCCATACAGCACCCTATGGACAAAATGGAACACACCAGCAGATGTGAGGAGACCTGAAAGTGGCACATGGCAGAGATGTGCGATGGAGTCACCAGGCAGCAATGGGATGCGTACGTACAGCGGGTAACCCATGACACACTCTGGACCTGGCAGCAGCCCTATTGAGGAGGGCGGTTTTTGGTAGGTTCAGGGGCCCATGACAGACTACGGGGTCCTGGCAAGCAGCATGAGGATTCGAGGTCGGTGTTACGGGGGCCCATGGGCAGATTACGGGCACTTGGCACCCTCGCAGCAGCATGGGAGGTCCATAACAGCAACCCTCTATTGACAAAATGGAAACCCTCCAGGCAGTGTGAGGAGACCTCGAACGTGGCCACATAGGCAGTGGCTTGTGGCGATCGGAGTACCAGCAGCAATGGGAGGCCGTAACAGGGACCCATGACCACACTCTGGACCTGGCAGAAGCAGCAGAGGAGGCAAGGGGTTACAGGGGGCCCTAATGGCAGAGTGCGAAGCTTAAGCAGGTTTAAATTGAAGGCCATACAGAGGCCTATGTTAACAAATAATAACATTGTTTTTGGGGCAATGATTCATGGCGTATTTAGTCAGTTGTGTCAGGAACTGGTGGTTATGCAAATTCCAGGGAACTAATCCAACGCGCATGATTTCAATTTATCACAAACGTGTAGTCCTCTCCACACTTTGGGAAGGTGGACAGTAGTGTCCTCCGCGGAGTTACAATACCACCTAGCCGCATCTAAACACGCGCTGCGATGCCGACGCACACTAGCTACTGGCCAGGCATGACAGCTTTTCAATGGCAAATTTCAGCTAGTTGAGGGACCAAAAGGTCAAAGTGTTCGTTGCACACCAGTAGTCAAGGGGATTGTCTACCTCGCGTTGGCAGGGTGCTGTCTCATAGTAGGCCCACGAGCCTGTTGTTTGAGGTCCTGCTCCATGTCCACCTGATGCTGCTCTGCGGCTGGTTAGTAGTTTCCTCCACTGCGCTGGTGAAGTAAGCCTACTCATCATCGACTGCAGGACTGAGGCAGTAGCCGCTGCTGGTGGAGCACTGCCAACTGTCTCCATACCCACCGCCATCCCGTCCCCTGCTGCCATGGCAGCGGAACGCGAGCAGAGATCACAGGGCCACTCCACAGTGTCTGTGGAATGGGACGTTGGGCCACCAGGAAAGGCATGAGACCAACCTGAACTACATTCAGGTTTCTTATAGTACTGATTATTTTTTGGCCTCCTCCCTCTTCATGCAGGTGTGAAAAAGGCCACCATTTTGTATCGGTACGGTTCGAGCGAGGGTCCCACAAGGTGGACAGCCCAAAAGTCAGTCCACTCTGTCTGTATGGTTTATTAATTCGGCACTGTCGCTTACGCAAGCAACACCGAGCATGCTATGGGCCATTTGTGCCAAGGAATGCGAGAGGACTCCCTGCCTCCATCTCCACAGCATACTGCCACGGTGCGTTCTGGGTCCTCTCCACCCTCCTCCTCTACCAGATGCTCCTGCTCCTCCACTCCTGGTCCGCTGAGTGCTGAAAAACACCCCATTTCACTCAATAAATTCCTGAGACACAAATGTCCCTCCTCTACCTCCTCCTCCTTCTTCCTGTCCTGGCCCCCCACAGGGGTCCATGTGGCGTTTGAGATCTGTGCGCCACGTCTACCGCACCCTGACCAGTTTTAACCTGTCATTTGTTCCAGGACTGTGCAACAGAGGAATGACGTCGTTCATCCCCATAGTCCCTTGCCAACTCACGAATAGCGTGGCCTCCTCAAAGGGCCTGGGCAAGCGGCAGTTGTCAAACCGCATGAGCTGCCAATGGCTGACATCTAAGTTACACAGGGAGTACCTTTATCCGCTTGTAACATCAGGAAATCGGGTGATGGCCTTTCGCTGTTCCGTTTAAAAGGCGGTCCTAACATATGTAGGTCTTGAATTCCACCTTGTTGCATAACGTGCGCAGATCAGGCGATGCTGATGGAATTCCGTCTTCTGGCCGCTGCAGCTCAAGGAGGGTGTGCTTTGCTGTGTAGGAATGGCTGAAATGCATGCAAAAAAGTTTTACGTGGACATTTTAAGGATTTCCCCCACCCCATGCAGTGGGATGGTGAGATTTTAGGAACCGCTTGACAACCCAGAATTGAACACGTGAGCCATGCATGGCGCATGGCACAACCTTCCTTGACGACAGAGCACGACACACCATGTTCTTTCCGTTGTCGGTCCAACATGGTTCCGATTTTAAGTTTGCGCGGAGGACAGCCATCTGTCGATTTCTCTGTTCAGTTTACACTCAGAAGTTCCTCCCCTGTGTGACTACGTTCGCCAAGGCATACCTGGTGCAGCATGCGTGACACCGTTCGCCCGCTGCACATGTGATTATGCCGGTCGGGTAAGTAAATGGGACTGGCACGGGGGTGGCGGCTGACGGGACAACGGCGGAAGAAGAGTGTGGTAGAGGCGGACATCTTTGGCTGGCCCAAGGACGTGCAAACGTGGAGGCAAAAGCGGCGTGATCTGGTCCCAAGTTGCTGGTGCTGCTTGCCGTGCCTGGCACCCACGTTCACACCCAGTGGGCAGTTAAATGACATGTACTGAGTCCCTGACCGTAGTTACAGTTCCCCACACGGCGGCGCTGCCGTGCACTTTGGCAGAGACCGACATGCTCAAAGACTGGCCCACCATCTCTTCTACATGTGAATGCAGCTGGGGCACTGCCTTTTTGGCGAAGAAATGCCGGCTTGGCACTCTTTCACACGCGGCGCGGCACAAGCCATCATATTTCTCGGTAAAAGGTGCTGAGTCCACCACTTGGAAAGGGAGGGACTGCAGCACCAGCAACTTGGACAGGAGGACGTTCGCTTCTGCAACCGTCGGGTGCGTGCTCGCAAACTGTTGTCTCTTGGAAAACGGATTCCAAGAAAGACTGCTGACGGAATCCGTGAAGAGGAGTAGCAGGAGAAGGAGAGATAGCTGAAACGAGCGGTAAGATGCCAAACGAGCGACAACTCCCCTCAGCAGAGGTGTTGGAGCCTTGACTGGCTGATAGAGGGCGAATTGACGTCGGGTGACGGAGACAACGTAACATGGGAGCGGGTGATGGAGCAGGGGCTGGGGCAGGCAGAAACCGCCGTATTCTTTATACGGTTTTCCCAGGCCACCCAACCGAATGGCGACGCTGCATATGCTGACGCAACGCTGTAGTCCCAACATGGGCCCCCTGGCCCACGCTTGACTTTCTGGCCCACATAGTCGACATACGGCTGACGTTTACTTCCTCGGGCGGCTTTGACGAAAAAATTGCCACACCGCCGAGTAGGAAACTTTGCCCCCGCTACTCCTCCACTGGCTGACTGCTACTTCCTCCGTGCACACCGGCACCACTACTGGCCGTGGTGGTAGGCTGCAGTGGAGCTGGTGCTCTACTCCGTGGCCGGTTGCCTCCACTGACACTGCTGCGACCCTGCACTGCTGCCCTCCTGGGCAAACCCACCGACTGTTTTGCTTGCTGGCAAGCTGGCACCCTCTTCTCCTGATGATGCGGAAGCAATAGCCTGATGAGGACGAGGCTGCCAAGTGCGATCATGCCTCATCATCATCAATTAGGGTCTCCGCGTCACTACTAGCCCCCTTCGGACGCTATTTTTTTTGTGGGTCAGGAGACAACCTGTCTCTAGAGCCGGCTACCGAGCCACTCTCCTCGCCAGTACTTCTTCGCCTGGCTGCTGAAGAGGCGGATGTCTCCCCCCGTTCCTGACCGCCCCTCTGTTAGCTCTTCCTCACTGTACAGTGGGGCTGAGCCCACAGCATGCGATACTTCGCTTGGTGAGGGAACACCAAAGGACAGGGGCAGGTAGAGGACACATGATTTCAGTGGGCTTGCTCCCGGGCCATGCCAACTAACGGTTGTGTCTGACGTACCCACCGACCGTTGGCTGTAGGTGTCAGAGGTGACCTGGGAAGAGGAAGACGACCGAGTCAAACCAATCGATGACAGCAGGGTTGTCGGTGGAGACACGACCGCTGGATGACACCGGAGCACTGGCCTCTGGCTGCGACTCTAGTGCTGCCTCGACCCCTTCCTCTGCTGCCACGTCTGCTCGCTCCTGAAAACATTGCCTCCTCTGCCACTCCTCTGCGTGTTGTCTGACATACTCTTTAATTCAATAGTGGTTGTGAAGCAGAAAGTAACGATTCTGTGTCCCTGAGTAACGATTCTGTGTCCCTGAGTAACGATTCTGTGTCCCTCAGTAACGATTCTGTGTCCCTGAGTAAACGATTCTGTGTCCTGAGTAACAATTCTGTCTCCCTGAGTAACGATTCTGGTGTCCCTCAGTAACGATTCTGTGTCCCTGAGTAACAATTCTGTGTCCCCTGAGTAACAATTCTGTGTCCCTGAGTAACGATTCTGTGTCCCTGAGTAACGATTCTGTGTCCCTGAGTAACAAATTCTGTTGTCCCTGAGTAACAATTCTGTGTCTGTCCCTGAGTAACGATTCTGTGTCACTGAGTAACAATTCTGTGTCCCTGAGTAACAATTCTGTGTCCTGAGTAACGATTCTGTGTCCCTGAGTAACGGTTCTGTGTCCCCCTGAGTAACAATTCTGTGTCTCCCTCAGTAACGATTCTGTGTCCCTCAGTAACGATTCCTGTGTCCCTGAGTAACAATTTCTGTGTCCCTGGAGTAACGATTCTGTGTCCCTGAGTAACGATTCTGTGTCCCTCAGTAACGATTCTGTGCCCCTGAGTAAAAATTCTGTGTCCCTGAGTAACGATTCTGTGTCTCTGAGTAACGATTCTGTGTCCCTCAGTAACGATTCTGTGTCCCTGAGTAACAATTCTG